AATTCAAAACAAACAAACAAACTCTTTATAAACATATATAGTATGAAAATATATATATATTGGAAAAATTGCAAAGGTAGCGGTTAAATCACACTTAATTTATATCCTGTGTATGTCTGTCACCTACGTTACCACAGGGCGTGAAGGTCGAAGCCCAAATACAATAGGTATATATTGTAGGTTTTCCCGTGGAAATAACCATGCAATCAAGCCAGTAAAATCTGACGGCCAGATCTACGTACACTCAGAATTTAAACTACATTTTAAAAATAAATATTTATAAACAGCTTAAAAATAAATATTGTTTAAATAAGGTAAAATCTTCAATTATAAATGTTATATATATAAGTTTTTTTAAACCCTGCCAGTTTCGTACTTTGGACTTCACACTCAATGTCATTGTAGATTAGTGATATAAATATAACGGTATACCACAAAATGTCATTGTAGATTAGTGATATAAATATAACGGTATACCACAAAATGTAAGGGTATATGGCATGTTTATGTTTTCAACTTGAATGACACGTTATGTGACATGGACTAAACGTCTAAGTCAGAAATCGCAATGTCCATCCATTTAGGGAACCAAACATCAGAACCTACCATCTGCAAGGCTACTCTTAGCTGAACAAAATATTGACTGACACTTTATAACGAGCCCACAGATGCAATGTGGACCGTGTACAATGGTACATTGCGGAATCGAATTTTACACTTTTCAATTCGCACTTAGCCCAAAAGTGACGGGGGTGATTTAAACGCCATTGTACATAACAATTTCTTTATACAATAAATATAAATGATTGAAGGAATTTCACACTTATTTTCATATAATAAATATTCATTAAGAATACATAAACTATACTCAAGTTTGAATGTTTATAATGTTAGATACCTGGCTTCGATACCCGTGATGAGCACAGATAGCCCATTGTGAAGCTTTGAGCTTAACAAACAAACAAGGTAATAATTTTTTCTTAAAACATTACACACAACAAACCTTTATTAACTAAAGAGCTGCATATTATACAGTGACTGGGTGTTTTTTAAGCCTTCTGTATTCATCATACCTATGCTAACCTGGCTTGTTGAGCTTGTCATATGATGGAAATCCATTGGAAGTTGTTGACCACTTAGAAGATGTAGCAGGACTAATTGGATAAAAGTCTTGGTCAGGAGGACTTTCGGGTAAATGATACACTTGTCCAACAGCCTGGTTCCTAATGTTCATTCCTGAGACTGACCACAATGACATTTTTTAGTCTGTAAGATCATACACATGGTCAGTTATGTTTTTTTCTTTTAAATAAATATAAAAAACTTCATATATTTACTACCCCAAAACACTTAACCCCTGATAACCTGGATGCAGATGTAGCCAAGCACGTGATATTGCTGTCTGGCAGACCTTTTTTTATTTAGGGAAGGATGAGGGAAGGTCTGCCTAAGTGACTTCTTAATATCACAAATATTAATTAATACTGACTCCGATCAGAACAAACTACCTGGTTAGATAAGAACTAGAAAAAAACAACCTGGTAACGAGCATAGCTAAATAAAGACAGTTTTCTTACGTTTTTTTTATTTATAGTGGTTACAATACGTTGTTTCGTTAGATGGGTACCTCGCTGTTTACAATATATTTTAAAGAGGTTCTGCGAAATTAGGAGATTTAAGTTAGTTGTAAGCCCATATACTAAGTTAAAGTTAACAATACTAAACTGTCTCTAAAATGAAAGTACAATAATAAAACTAGATACTTTAAATGTACTGATCAATAATGTTAACGAAAATAACATTATGCTTAGAAAGATTCTAGAAAAAAAAAAGAAACTGGAAACTTATTGAAACAAATATATACTCACAATGTTGAAAAGCAAAACATATATATATGAAAGGTAATTTTCTTTCCTTGGAGTGACTTTCAGCTGAACCTGAAAAATTCAAAAGTAACAGCCTTCATGTTTATGTTTTTATCTGCCATTTTTTTTCTAAATTTACTTTGAAAGGAATGTTGTTTTTCTTTTTATTAATTTCTTATTTCTAACGGTATGTTTGGAGACTAACACCGCTAGAAACCGGGTTTCGATACCCGTGGTGGGCAGAGCACAGATAGCCCCTTTCTGTAGCTTTGTGCTTAACTTCAAAAA